GTGTGTGTGTGTGTGTGTGTGTGTGTGTGTAGTTGTGGAAGCCTTGAGGCCAAACAACAGTCTTAAGATGCATAGATGGGTACTAGTGGCGACGCCCGACCACTCACAATACCTATCCAATATACAAGGTACCATTTTATCTATGTATGTACGTATGTAATGAATGAATACATATATATATATATATATATATATATATATATATATATATATATATATATATATATATATATATATTTAGAAGCAACACTAACTCTAAATAGGCCGATTATTTCTCAGTATTACCTAACCGTTATTAAGTAATCATTCAAATATGTCAATATCGTAACTTTATTGAAACTCCAGCGCAGGTACACAAAAATAGAACACAAAGATCTGCCTGTTAGGCAAACGAAGTCTTGCCATATTCAATTGATAGCCTGAACAAACTACAGGGTGTTGCACTATAAATAATATATGACTTTTGAACAAGGCAAAATAAAACTGTTATACATTTATGTAAATTATTTAAAGTGAGGTTACTTCCTGGATCATGTTCCGTCCCGAGTCATGTTACCGTCTGGCGTCATGTTGTCCAGACATGTTATGATGTCAGTCCGTCCTCGCCAGCGGCCACAACCTTATGAAACTGGTGTACTAAATTGCCTGAACCTAACCTAACCTAGGACCCATAAACAGAAAACGGAACCTCACGTTAATTTTGTGAGCCGCTATGATTTTTAGTACTGTAAATAGGTTTGTAGCCTGGGGGATTTATATGTCAAAATGCGATGTTACCATTCGAGAGGCCGGGTTGGTCACATAAAATATTTTATACTACCCACGGTTTTATAGTTATATAACTCCGTTTATTATGACCTAATGGTTCAGTATGGTGGAAGCCCTCCCCCCCCACACCTTCTACCATACCAAACCCTTTGGTTAAAATCTGGATGATTTGGATAAGATAATGAGATAAGTTAGGTTAAATGTTTCGTCGTCTAGACTACACTCACCTAATTGTGCTTGCAAGGGTCGAGCTTCAGCTCTTTGGTCCCGCCCTCTACAGGTTCGTACGCTTCTGGTTAGACATTAACATTTCCAATTCGATGTTGGTCAAATTGTGAGAAACGATCACTTTGTTTGGCAAGTTACTTAGTGTCCACCCCGTGTCTGGTCATAGTGTCCCCCACACTGGTCAGTGTCCCCCACACTGGTCAGTGTCCCCCACACTGGTCAGTGTCCCCCACACTGGTCAGTGTCCACCCACAGTGCCTGGTCATAGACAGTGATCCCCACAGCGACTGGTCATAGTGTCCCCCCACAGTGGTCAGTGTCCCCCTCCCCCACAGTGGTCAGTGTCCCCCTCCCCCACAGTGGTCAGTGTCCCCCTCCCCCACAGTGGTCAGTGTCCCCCTCCTCCCCTCCACAGTGGTCAGAGACGGTGTCTGGTCACACAATACAGTGTGACACCTTCACTACCTTGTCAAGCACAATACGAAGCTGGAAAAAGTTCAGAGGTATACCACTAGGCTAGTCCCAGAACTAAGAGGCAAGAGCTACGAGGAAAGGCTGCGTCAAATGCACCTCACGTCGCTGGAAGACAGGAGAGCTTGAGGAGACATGATCACTACCTTCAAAATTCTCAGAAGAATTGACAGGGTAGATAAAGATAAACTGTTTAACACGGGTGGTACACGAACAAGGGGACACAGGTGGAAACTGAGTACCCAAATGAGCCACAGAGACGTCAGAAAGAACTTTTTCAGGTCCAGAGTAGTTAACAGATGAAATGCATTAGGCAGTGATGTGGTGGAGGCTGACTCCATACACAGTTTCAAATGTAGATATGATAGAGCCCAGTAGGCTTAGGAATCTGTACACCAGTTGATTGACACTTGAGAGGCAGGACCAAAGAGCCAGAGCTCAACCCCCTCGCAAGCACAACTAGGTGAGTACTGCTACATTACCCAGACCAACTCAAGGTTCTACAAACAAGCTCATCCTCTCACCCGACACATAATATTTAAACACTGGCGACAGTCGCAAACTGACTGCTTTTATGATATATAAAAGCATTGTATACGTATGTTTTTTTGTTTTTTAACAAAAGACAATCTTTGTGGATAGGTTTGATGGGGTGGTGTGGGATCGAACTCTCTGGTAAACTGAGAAGAGTACACTTTGTACGTTTGTCACAGTGTAAGAACCAGATTTTATTTCAGGCAACAAATGTGTAAATGTAAATATGCTTCTGAGACGCAGTTTTCTAAACGTTATTATCATGATCTCTGAACCAGCGATGTGTGTGTGCATCAGTGGTGAGATTGGCAGTGACAACTGGCCGTGACACAGTGACAGGTGACAGTGACAATTGTCATTGGGACAGTAACTAGTGTGGGTGACATTGACAAGTGTGGGTGACACTGACAAGTGTGGGTGACATTGACAAGTGTGGGTGACATTGACAAGTGTGAGTGACAGTGACAAGTGTGAGTGACAGTGACAAGTGTGAGTGACAAGCGTCAGTGAGAGGGAGAGAGAGCCTCATACTTGAGACCTGCACACACCCCCAGTCACTGTTCTAGATGACTGGCTGACTGTTACCAGCAATGCTCTACACTGACTCGTCTTCCCATAGCACAGGTGTATGTCAGATGTGTGGTGAAACAGGTGTTTCAGGTGTGTCGGAGGTGTGGTGGAGCAGGTATGTAAGGTGTGGGAGGAGTGGGGGAGGCAGGTGTGATATAGGTGATGGCAGCAGGTAACCGCACTGGAGGTGGCCTGGCCCGCCCCGGTGCCACCACCCTGGCCAACAGTGTGTGTGTGTGTAGCTCGTCCGCCTAACAGAACCTCGCATTTTGACGTATACTTTAAGGCCAAAAATGGTCGTACAAGAAAATGGTAGCGGCTCGCGAAATTGACACTGTCCCGTTTTTTGTTTTGGGTCTTCTGGTAGGTTAGGAGAGGGCACTTTAGTACGACAATTTCTTGACGTTGGGAAATCTTAGGAGGACGGACTGGTATGTTTGTATGTTGAGAGCCTCGGTAAACACCAGTTTTATTTTTTAACTGTTTGATATGTTAGCGTGTGGTTGTTCCAGCACCTGAATGGCTCAACCCAATTGGATGTGATGTATACCATTGTTGGCTCACAATAAGCTGGCTTCAACCTGGAAATACTCAGCCCATATAATATGGTCAAAAGGTTCAGATCCCAGTGTTGTTGGGTGGGTATGAGAGCAGCAGACATCCATACACAAACATGCACCCATATTGACACACATGAATAAGGACGTAGAAGATGGTAGTGTTGAGAGCTGGGGGAGGGGGGGGGGTGCTACCAACAGAAGGTGGTAGTGCCAGCAAGGATAGTGACAGTGCCAGGAGCAGTAACAACTCACTACTCAGCTATACTTCCCTACAACCTGCCAACCAACCGGTTTCTGCGGTAATACTTTTAGATTTGAGACTTCTGGGCAAGTGTCCTTACTCGGCAGTACACTACACCTTGTTCCTCCATCTTCATTATGCTCTGCCGCCCTCTACTACACGGTAACTTGCCCATTTCTCACCATCCTCTCATGTTATGTAAGCATACATTATTTTTTTTTTTACACATTTTGGTATCATAGAAAACAACTTCTGACTCGTGTTAGCAGGCAAACGCTTTTCCTTCCCATAGCTCATTCCTAGCTTTGCCCTGCCAGTCTGATGCGGAACACGTTGCTAAAAGCCACAATGTACTTGGTTGTCGAGCATGTCCATCTTCTACAGCCTTTACTAAGCAGAGGAGCGAGAAGACCAGGCGAGATAGGGACGGGCATGGACCACACACATGGAAACTTCTGGGTCAAGAGTTATGAACTTAATTTGCTGGTTAGGATAAATAGCACTGTACTTGAGTTTGATAATAAAGCCTTCAACTGGAGGATGACTGGAGATTTTGACTTGAGCAGGACACATTCCCCAGTCTCAAGTGACATGGTCTGGAGGCTTTATTTGATGACAAACTGAGAATATATTGAGGAAGTCAGTCTCTACAAGCTTGTCTGTTGGGAACTTTGATTCTGTGAGAATTCAACTCTTTATGTTGAAGAGAGTCCTGGAACCCATTTCAAAATGAACACCCTATCCTCCTGATAAGATAGTACTTTTGTAATTATGTGGGCCATCGTACAAATATCGCCGTGGACCCAGAAAGTAGTATTTGGTACTATTCATTTTATAACCCAGAAAAATTAAAACAAAAACCAAACTGAAGTATTCTTAGGTCCAGTATAGCACATTTATGTACTATATTAGGCCTTAGGGTGTATTGATCGTAGGGTGGCAAGGTTAGGTTAGGCTTCATTAGCAATATACATAGAAAAACCTTTCCCAGTTTCTCCAAATTCAGTAATACAAAAGTTTACTTTCCATTAGTCTATCACGTTTATATTTGTAGGATGGACCACATGGTTACTATAAGTATTTCAGTCTAGGAGGCGGGGCTGAAATGAAGCACTGACTGCTAACACATTAAATGCTTGGCTTGATGCCACTTATCCTGCAACTCGTCTAATCCACACTATCTTTACTTACCTTATATCTTGTAGTTGGTTCAAGGAATTCTTCCCAAGTCCGGCCTTGGACCTGGCTTGTGTTGTGATAACTTGGTCTGAAAGGTTGTTGCTTGGAGAAGCACTACCTCACTATCTGCGTCCAGGAGCGCCACTATACCGTTATCTGAAGAGGCTTCCACTGGTCAGCTGCTACTTTTTCATCATATATTGTTTGTCTCTGTTGTTCTATCTCTGAGGAAGGAAAATTATGAAGCTTTAGCAACATCACAACACAAACTGTGGGATCCGGGCCACCCAACACCACAGCTCACCACCTCACCCTACAACTAATTATTTAATTCCAAACTTTCGAGTAACAACAGACGTCGTCACACATCTCTTGTTTTATTTACAATTCTTTATGGAATAAGAACGTGTGTTTTACCATTTGTTAATTCTTCTGTTCGTCGTTTTCAGTAGAGATAAATCTTTTATCAAAGTGACGCTATAATAAAAAGCACAAAACAGGGTGCAAGAAGTGACAATCAGGATACAGAGTTGTTTGGTACCCACTACTCCAGGGTAGAGTTGTTTGGTACCCAGTACACCAGGACACAGAATTGTTTGGTACCCACCAAACCCAGGCACAGAGGTGTATAGTACCAGCCACACCAGGGAAAATAATACTATTTTGTATTTCCATCAGTAACACAAGACAACATGGCCACTTCTGAGGTAAGAAATAACCATATTCGCAAATAACCAAATAACCGTAAGAAATAACCAAATTATACACAATACAGTATATTGTAATGATGTGTAGATTACGATTTGATCTTATAATTATTATATCGTTTCTATATCTCCTGTATTTACTGTTGTCCAATGTGGGCGAACCAAAGGATATAACTACCCAAGGTTAGGATAGCTAACTTTTAACACTGCACTTAAAACGTGGCTTTCTCTTAGTGTTCTTTATCACCATATGCGTAGTAACATGATGTGGCCAGCTTGCTGTCACATATCTGCAGCCAGAGGTTAGCCTTGTGCTCCAAGTCCCTATTGCTGACCCTCGGCTCAAATAACAACAGACTACTTTTGACCTTAACCACATGGACGCTACTGTCATATATATTAAACTTAGTCCACATGTATTACACAATAGGAATAGGCACAAGAGCTACATCTGTGCTGTAATGACCGGATAATTCAGAAAGATGATGTTCACACTGGGCCACATCCATGGATGGGTGTAGTTTTAATGTGCTGAAAAGGCATAATGACCAAATATCGTCAATTCCTAAGCTGAGTTCACTATAAAAAGAGCGGAGAGCTCGCCCAACCACTTGGACTAGACGGTAGAGCAACAGTCTCGCTTCATGCAGGTCGGCGTTCAATCCCCGACCAAACAAGTGGTTGGGCACCATTCCTTTCCCTCGTCCAATCTCAAATCCTGACCAAGTGCTTTATAGTTGTAATGGCTTTGCGCCTTCCCCTGATAATTCCTCCTCGATCGAGATTGAAACAGACTGTGAGAAAAAATTGAGACAGAGGCTGTGTGAATGTTCAGGACTGGTCTCAGGGATGTATTAACAACAAAGGAAGTAAAGAACAAACTCTAGGAACTAGATGTAGGGACCGATATTTCTGGGAGAGGAGCAATGACCAACTCCCGACCAGGCTGGGATAGTCACATACCACCCATGTATCTTCTTGAACAGTTGGGTGAAGCTAGCCCCAAGCATCTGGCCTCCAACCCTGGACGAATCTTTTATAGATATACTGTATAACTCGGGGAATAAAATGCATGTACATCACTGACGCATAAACTCACATAGGCTGAGTTAGGCTAGGTTGAATTTGGAATTAATGGTGTTGTACAGGACTTGGTTAGGACTAGTTAAACAAAGTGATAAGCACATGAGGAGCTCTTCTGTAACATCACAGCCTGTCATACCACCCAGACTTGTCAACATATTTTATTCAAGGATGTTTTGTGGCCTTGGGATAGTGGTGGGGGGTGGCGCGGGACCCTCTGGAGGGAAGCAGTTTTGTATTGACACTCATTACTTTGTTGCTTAACAAACATGGCTGTTTGCCTTGGACAGTCAGATAGGATTGTTTGTCTTGGACAGTCAGATAGGATTGTTTGTTTTGGGACAGTGAGATACGGTTGTTTGTCTTGGGACAGTCAGATAGGGTTGTTTGTCTTGGGACAGTCAGATACGGTTGTTTGTCTTGGACGGTCAGATACGGTTGGGTGTCTTGGGACAGTCAGATATATATACATATGTATGAAGCCATACTCAAACACAGTATTAGAGAGAAACAAACCTCTCTACCAGAGCACTTCTCCACCAAGAAATCCCCCGCGACTGTTTACGTTTGACATGTTCCAGTTCCCATCTTCTTTGGATTCATTCCTCACCCAAACCTTCATAATCTACTTCCATACCATCTTTTACCTTCTCCACACACTACGTTCAGTTGACTCTACAATACTTCCATGTCGCTATTTATATAATATTTTCTTTATTCAACTGTAAGAAGTTACAGCAAATCAGAAATCACGTTTAAAATTACGCTGTATCAGTGACAGATGCAACCCAATTCCTCCTTCATAAGGATTGATTAATTGCAATTAAATAAATAGATAATTAAATAATTAAAGTAAGAAATAAAAAACTATGAAACTAATAATGCTGCTGTATTGTACTTTTGAAGTACTGTACTGTACCGTATAGGATAAACAAATGGTGCGAAGGGATTTGGGTTCCTGTATGGACCCTATATTAGTTATGTATATGGGTCACAGGTATGGACCCTATACAGGTCATTTAAGTGGGGTAACTGTAAATACATCTCCCCCCCCCCTATTTGTACATACATTTTTTACCTGTAAATCATTATTTTAATAATGTGTAGCTAAAACAATTATAGCTATATATTTTGTTTATTTAACAATATATATTTATATCCATAAGTTATCTTGGAGAGGTATTTAATATATACAAGTATTATTTTAAACATATTTTGAGTTTCAAGTCTAAATTCCAATTTGGTGTCTAAATGATGTAAAAACTTAATATTTTTTTGCTTCATATTATCTTTACTGTGACTCTACTGCATAAATGTATTGTTTTATATTAAGCATTGCTGGATGTGTAAACTAGGTGCTCAATATGATAGTTAAGTCCTCACTTGACCCTACTAAACACACTCCGGATATGCAACTATATGTTTTAAAATTCTTAAGCTGCTATCTTAGATAAGGACACAGACCACTCAATTTTTTAGCATAAATTATTCTTTCACAGGTAAAAGCAATCTGCGAAGAGTTAATTCTAAGCCAAGAGACCCTTAAAGAGGTTTGTGACTGTCTCCAAGAGGAGATCAACAAAGGCTTGGGCAAGGACTCCAATCCTGAAGCCACCATCAAATGCTTCCCAACATACGTCAGAGATCTTCCCAATGGCAAAGGTAAGTATTTATATATTCCACAAGAGATGTGACAGCCACGCAGGGAATTTTGTAAGGCAGTCACTGCTTGTGGGTGAGAGCTGGGTGACAGAGAGCATGGGGTGGTTAGGGTATATTGGGGCAGATTTAGTGGCTGGGGGTGTGAATAATTGGGGTCGTGGCTGGGGGTGTGAATAATTGGGGTCGTGACTGGGGGTGTGAATAATTGGGGTCGTGGCTGGGGGTGTGAATAATTGGGGTCGTGGCTGGGGGTGTGAATAATTGGGGTCGTGGGTGGGGGCAGGAATAATTGGGGTCGTGGCTGGGGGTGTGAATAATTGGGGTCGTGGGTGGGGGCAGGAATAATTGGGGTCGTGGGTGGGGGAAGGTTAGGTAGGGGCAAAAGTGGAAGTGGTGGTAAAATGTGGATGAGTCGGATGGATGGACAAGCAGTTGGCAGGTTGGATGGATGATGAAGCAGATGACTGTTCACTTTAACACTCGGCTGATCACATCAATATGTAAATAATGTGTGCGGTTAGTACTATATATATATATGTCTAGTAGCATCTTTGGGAGAATGTACATAGCTTATTTCTTTATCAAAATATATTAGATATTAGTTGCTCCGGTTGTACTGTCGAGTTGGTTCTCGACTCTCAGTTGGGACTTCTGGGAGCAAATCCCAGGCGGCGCAGAAGTGGTTAGGCACGTTTCCGATTATTAAATGCCCCTGTTATCAATTATGAATTATTATTAATTTATTCTATGTAGCCTATACGCCAAAATTGTTACAAAAGCCTCTGTATCTTCGTGAATAAAGGCTATACAATATGAAGTGTGTGTGTGTGTGTGTGTGGAGAGCCGGAGGGAAAGAATATATTCCTTTCCTGTTGGCGCCACAATCCAGTAATAATTTTGAGCATAATGCCACACTCGACCACTTGTTGTTGACTAAGGGGAATGGTATATTTATAATTACATATGGCCTCCCGCAGGATTATAATGTAAATAAATGTTGCATAACACTTTAAGCATCTTACTTAATTTCGCAAGGCTGTTCAAGAACAAGAAAATGGGGAAGCGAACATTTGTGTGTGTGTGTGTGTGTGTGTGTGTGTGTGTGTGTGTGTGTGTGTGTGTGTGTGTGTGTGTGTGTGTGTGTGTGTGTGTGTGTCAGTCTGCCACCTCCAGGCTGCTTGTAGGCTACGGCTCTCAGCATACATATCAAAATAAACAAGTTATCAACACTTACAAAGAGACCAGTAGCTCAGTGGCCTTGAAGTGTTGTGAACACACACACACACACACACACACACACACACACACAACTTCAGAATTGCATTTAAATACATGGATGGCGATATACTAAAGAAATTGTTCATGACTTTTGTTAGGCCAAAGCTAGAATATGCAGCTGTTGTGTGGTGCCCATATCTTAAGAAGCACATCAACAAACTGGAAAAGGTGCAAAGACATGCTACTAAGTGGCTCCCAGAACTGAAGGGCAAGAGCTACGAGGAGAGGTTAGAAGCATTAAATATGCCAAAACTAGAAGACAGAAGAAAAAGAGGTGATATGATCACTACGTACAAAATAGTAACAGGAATTGATAAAATCGACAGGGAAGACTTCCTGAGACCTGGAACTTCAAGAACAAGAGGTCATAGATTTAAACTAGCTAAACACAGATGCCGAAGAAATATAAGAAAATTCACCTTCGCAAATAGAGTGGTAGACGGTTGGAACAAGTTAAGTGAGAAGGTGGTGGAGGCCAAGACCGTCAGTAGTTTCAAAGCGTTATATGACAAAGAGTGCTGGGAAGACGGGACACCACGAGCGTAGCTCTCATCCTGTAACTACACTTAGGTAATTACACATACTCAAACACCCTTGACTACCATCCCACACCCACTCATCCACCACCACACGCACCCATGACCACCAACCCACACCCACTCATCCACCACCATGACCACACACATCCCTCACCCACCAGCCTGACCACACACATGCTTCACCCACTCATCCACCAGCTTGACCACACACACACACATGCTTCATCCACTCACCCACCAGCCTGACCACACACACACACACATGCTTCACCCACTCATCCACCAGCCTGACCACACACACACACACACACACACAAGCTTCATCCACTCACCCACCAGCCTGACCACACACACACACACATGCTTCACCCACTCATCCACCAGCCTGACCACACACATGCTTCACCCACTCATCCACCAGCTTGACCACACACACACACATGCTTCACCCACTCATCCACCAGCTTGACCACACACACACACATGCTTCACCCACTCATCCACCAGCCTGACCACACACACACACATGCTTCATCCACTCATCCACCAGCCTGACCACACACACACATGCTTCACCCACTCACCCACCAGCCTGACCACACACACACATGCTTCATTCACTCACCCACCAGCCTGACCACACACATGCTTCACCCACTCATCCACCAGCCTGATCACACACACACATGCTTCACCCACTCATCCACCAGCCTGACCACACACACACATGCTTCACCCACTCATCCACCAGCCTGACCACACACATGCTTCACCCTCTCATCCACCAGCCTGACCACACACACACATGCTTCATCCACTCACCCACCAGCCTGACCACACACATGCTTCACCCACTCATCCACCAGCCTGACCACACACACACATGCTTCAACCACTCATCCACCAGCCTGACCACACACATCCCTCACCCAGCAGCCTGACCACACACATGCTTCATCCACCAGCCTGACCACACACACACATGCTTCACCCACTCATCCACCAGCCTGACCACACACACACATGCTTCATCCACTCACCCACCAGCCTGACCACACACATGCTTCACCCACTCATCCACCAGCCTGACCACACACACACATGCTTCACCCACTCATCCACCAACCTGACCACACACATGCTTCATTCACTCATCCACCAGCCTGACCATACATCCCACATGCACTCATCCACCAGCCTGACCATACATCCCACATGCACTCATCCACCAGCCTGACCATACATCCCACATGCACTCATCCACCAGCCTGACCACACACATTGTCAAACACATTCATTCAGTCGTTCAGAACCTTGTATACCACATATGTAAGACCAATCCTGGAGTATGCGGCCCCAGCATGGAGCCCGTACCTTGTCAAGTATAAGACGAAGGTGGAAAAAGTTTAGAGGTATGCCACTAGGCTAGTCCCTTAATAAGAGGCATGAGTTATGAGGAAAGGCTGCGTGAAATGCACCTCACGACACTGGAAGACAGAAGAGTAAGGGGAGACATGATCACAACCTACAAAATTCTCAGAGGAATTGATAGGATAGATTAATATATACTGTTTAACACAAGTGGTATGCGAACAAGGGGACACGGATGGAAACTGAGTACCCAAATGAGCCACAGGGACGTTAGAAAGAACTTTTTCAGTGTCAGAGTAGTTAACAGGTGGAATGCATTAGGCAGTGATGTGGTGGAGGATGACTCCATACACAGTTTTAAATATAGATATGACAGAGCCCAGTAGGCTCAGGACTGTATATCAGTTGATTGACAGTTGAGAGGCGGAACCAAAGAGCCAGAACTCAACCCCTGCAAGCACAACTAGGTGAGTACACACCCTTGCCTACCAACCAATTCCTCCCACACACATCAGTTTGGCAAAACATATAAATTCTAAACCACATTAATGTGGAGTTTGAATATAATTGGATACCTTACTGGTGCCAGAATGGTTTAAAAATAAACCATTAAGCAGTCACCATCATTCTCCATGCTTTTTAGTCAGCATTGATGGTGCAATGATAGAGCTCCTGCCTGCTACTTTCAGCTTGAAAATTTGATTCCCCAATAAGCCAGGTGAATGAAATACTGTATGAAATACAGTATTTCATCCACCTGGATGAAGGCACTGAAATACAGTGCCTCTAATCTCTCCTTGTAGCTCTTGTCCTTCAGTTCTGGGAGCAGTGGCTTGTCTTTGCACCTTTTCCAGTTTGTTGATGTGCTTCTTAAGATATGGGCACCATACGACCGCTGCATATTCTAGCTTTATATGTCATGACCAAACAACTTTATATGTCATGAACAAAAGTCATGAACAGTTTCTTTAGTATTTCACCATCCATATATTTAAAAGCAATTCTGAAGTTAGAAAGCATATCATAGGCTCCTCGCACAATGTTCTGTATGTGGTCCTCAGGTGATAGTTTTCTATCTAGAACTACCCCTAGATCTCTTTCTTTATCAGAAGTCTTCAAAGATTTTCCACATAATTTATAGGTTGTGTGGGGTTTGTTCTCCTATTCCACATTCCATAAATACCCACTAAACTTGACACTTAGTCATTTTGTAACATACTTTAAGACTTTAAAACTTACTTTAAAACACTGTGTATCATACTCATTCCATATTTACCTTACAGAAAAAGGAAGATTCTTGGCCTTAGATCTGGGAGGAACCAACTTCAGAGTTCTCCTGATTGAATTGGGTGACAAATGTACCATGGACAGTAGAATTTATGCTGTTCCTCAACCCATCATGGTCGGACCTGGTGATGGGGTAAGAAATAAGGAGTTTTATACTGTAATTTCTTAGTTTCAGAAATGTTAGAAAATTTAATGGTTATTACCCAATCATTAGTCTATACTGTACATACACAGTCTTAGGTTAGTATTACATGGGAACATGTAATGCTCCCATTTATAGTAGGTATAATTATAACCTTGCCATGTTATAGTAGGTACTGTATAATTATAACCTTGCCATGTTATAGTAGGTACTGTATAATTATAACTTTGCCATGGAAACCATCCTCAAAAATCAATTAATAAATTTAGATGTTGGATTAGGGAGAAATAACCCCAAGAATCATTGTGTGAATCCATACTGCTCTTGTTATACTGTACATGAATAACTAACTGCAAAATCAGTTCCCTCTTGTCAATGTGTGCTGATGATGCAAAGCTTTAAAAAGAATAGTAATAAAGAAAGAAAGATTAAGAGCTACAGGAAAACATGGACAAGTTACATGGATGGAGTGACAAGTAAATACTCGAGCTCATTCCTAGGAAATGTAAAATGATAAGGATGAGATAAGGGGAGAGCGGTGATGAGAGGAAGGCAGCTGCCAATGTGACAGAGTACACGACCCAGAGTACTGCACACTCACTAATGTCACTGACTTACATCAAAACAATAACATCAGTAGGGAATGCAACACTTGTAAACATAACAACAGTCTTCATGAATTTCATCAGAGTCATTCAAGTACTACCACCATGTTTATTTTATTTAATTTAAAGCTGTATATTGATTGATTTATGTATCTATTTTTATTTTTATTTATTTTTTTATTTATTTATTTACAATAAGGCACATTGGATTGTGAGAATACATAACATTGGTACTTGAGCAAAGCATTTACAATCTTGTTAGTGACTTTGCATTCTACAAAGCCACTAACATGCATAGCATTTCAGGCACGTCTTTAAGCTAACCAATACATGTAATAATATATGACAGTGTCAAACCACGGAGGAAAATTGAAATAGGAATTTCAATGAGTACTTTCGTAAATTAATACATCTTCAACTACTCCTTCTGAAGATGTATTAATATATACGAAAGTACTTAAGGAAATTCCTGTTTCAATTTTCCTCCGTGGTCTGACACTGTCACATTTTTAGTCATGTGTTTATTTCGTGATATACACACGTAATAATATATATGTACATTGTAGCAGAATTTGGGTTCAACATAAAAAGTTTCAGAGCGGGATTATCATTTAGGAACAAGATTTTGTAATTGTAAATAGTACAAGAAAATGTGTAGAGTGAGTGAATGTTTAGCATGTTTAGGGATTTAAACAGAGGGGCTGTGTGTTGTCTGAAGACAGAGTTTGTTCTAAGATTAGATAAGATAATGTTTATTCAAGTAAAAGTACATACATTCAAAATGAGTTACTAACAAAATGATGGATTTCTAGATAGAACTAGTACACACTATGCCTAAAGCACCTAATATGCACAGCGTTTCGGGCAAGTATGGTAAAAACATTTAGTGCATTGTATGTTATCTTGAGGTTATCTTGAGATGATTTCGGGGCTTTAGTGTCCCCGCGGTTCGGTCCTCGACCAGGCCTCCACCCCCAGGAAGCAGCCCGTGACAGCTGACTAACACCCAGGTACCTAATTTACTGCTAGGTAACAGGGGCATAGGGTGAAAGAAACTTTGCCCATTGTTTCTCGCCGGCGCCTGGGATCGAACCCAGGACCACAGGATCACAAGCCCCGCGTGCTGTCTGCTCGGCCGACCGGCTCCCGGTCGAGTGCACTCGACCGGGAGTGCATGTACTAGCTCTATCTATAAATCTATCAATTTTTGTATCACCTCTTGTATGTATGTACTTTACCTGAATAAACATTTGAATTTGACTTTTTGAATTTAGACTAAAACTTAAAACTGATCGAGATCAAAGCATAAAGGAAAAAAAATAAAAAAGAATGATAATAATTAGATGATAGATGGAACAGCTGAAATTGCAACAGTACAGCAGAAGTAATTTTAACTAAATAAACAGAAGACTACAATTTAAATTTATTGTATTTGTCTGTAATTGTTTATGTCAGCTGTATCAGCTCCTTTATGAACAGGCATTACTCTTGCTTTTTTAAGGATATCAGGAAAAGTATGACACTCAAGAGTTTTGTTGAATAGTAGAGCTATGGCTAGTGTAAAGACACGAGCAGCACTCATATATCATAGTACGTACAGTATTTCACTAATGTTTGCAGCTTTGAGCGAGTTATGGACATGATGTCTGTCGGGCTGATTAGCAAAAAGGAGTAGAGAGAGAGACCACAGAGGAAACATGGAAAGCACATGGAAGATATTCACTAACATTCCATGATCCAAATAAACATTGTGAAAACAAACAAATAAAACTCACCAGATAGGTGGTTGACCTCAGTCTGTGTTTACAGTTTATCCACCGTCTAAATAAAGTGGCTTTACAAGAATATCCTTAGCTTAAATATTTGTATATATAAATTAATTTCTGTATAGATATTTCACTGCATATATATAGTATTTTTGAAAATAAAGAAAGCCTGTTTGAATGAATACATTATATTCAGCTTTAAAATGATATAATGACTGACAGAACAACAGACCACTATCCTACCTTTCACAGTGAGTTTTGGAATAATGTATGGCAATATTTATATAGAAAATGGAACACCATGAACGTGGCTCTCTTTGTATAACCACAAATAGTTAATAACAAATACAGAAAGTAATAAAGAGTAGATAATAAAGCATACAGCAAGTAATAAAAATACAGACTGTTATAACAAATGCAGGAGGTAATAAATACCATACAGTAAGTAATAAATTGTTGTAGTTATGTATTGTGTATTAAGCAGTTTCCTGTTATGCAGCATTATACATGTTATGTGAATTTAATATCAATATTCTAGCTACTGTAATTATATCTTGTTCTTTTGTTTTCAGCTCTTCGACCACATAGCAGAATGTCTTGCAAGTTTCATTAAGGAGCGAGATCTTGGGAAAGAGTTGCTTCCTCTGGGCTTCACATTCAGCTTCCCTTGCAAACAGGAGGGGTTAACCAAGGCTCGGTTAGTACACTGGACTAAAGGCTTTAGATGCGAGGGGGTCGAGGGTCGAGACGTTGTGGAGTTGCTCAAACAAGCTATTGCGAGACGAGGGGTGAGTGTATTTTCTGTTTATCACTAATACACAGTACAACACTTTCAATGAATATTCTACATGTTTAAATATGTAAACATATAAGATTTATATATAAATATAATCAATTTATTCTTGCAGGTGTTTAAACTGCCCTTCTGCCTTATGTTTGACCTTCAATGTATCAGCTTTGACTCTACTGAGATAGTCTTTTAATAGGTATCCTAAAAGTATTGTTTGTAAATGTTACACCAGCTTACCCTTTGCATTATGTTCCACCTCCTTTCTCTCGCCATATTTTCCATTATCGAATATATTTTCTTTACAAAGTATTATATCTCACGATGTATGTATTTGAAAATATATTTAAGAGTATCAAGACTGAAGACCATCCTCAGAATTTTTGTTAATTCATACAAAAATAATATTTAATAAATAATAGTAATAATAGTACATAGCTTTAATCTTTCTTCTAATATTTATTTTCCACTATGTTCAAAATGTTGTAAAATGATATAAATGAACTTAGAAAGTTTTCTGTAGGAGTGCATGCTTTCTGGTCGGTGAATGTTGCTTCTTTAGCTTTAAGCTTTCTCACTTCTCTTCATCTCATAACTTTTTCTTCCATTTCATGGAGTAATATACAGTGTATTTATAAATTATTTAATTAAATTTTTTCAAAACAGGATGTCAGCATCAAGATTTGTGCTGTTCTAAATGACACCACTGGCACACTCATGTCTTGTGCCTGGAAGAGCAGCAACTGTCGAATTGGTGTTATTGTTGGTAGGTCAAAGCTGTTATATCGTGTGTATTCTTAGCTTTGAGAAAATATAGAGGCTGTTTGGAGAGAAAAGAAGTCTTGTGATTTTTTACAGATGTATACTGTATTAGCATTCCTGTAACCAATAGCAATGGCTTGAATATGAAACTATGTGGCAGACTTTTGATTTACTAAAGGGAGACAATTCAACTTTATATAATTGACAACAATTTTAGATACTCTATTTGCAAGTGTCCCTTGTTCAAATACTTACATTGATACGGCTACTGATAAACTCCTGTGTTAAGTGTAATGAAATGCCACTGTCTGGGGGGAAGGGGGAGGGGCACGTTGGCTCACTGTTGTTAGCTGCTCTGAGATTCCTCCACACACACATGTAAGTCACAAGTCTCGGAGTTCTTAATATCCTACATCACAGAGGCACAGTGAGCAGGGCATTCATGATCAGCCTTTCTGAAAAAAAAACTGACTCCCCAGAAAGGAAAAAAGGCCAAAGAGACAAGTACAAGGTTGAGAGAAACTCAACAAAGTAACAATGGTCCACCCCAGTATTTAGCACATTACCTTCTATTTGGTAATATTATTTGGCTGCTTCCCACCATGTGGTTAGGTAGTTTCATTCTTAAGAAAATTTATTATACAGTATATGTAAGTCTGTTTTTAAACTATACTAAAATATGTTTTATGGTTAGATAAAGCTTAATAATTTGAATATATTATTTGTAAATATTTGATGGAACATTTATTTTTAAAATCTAAAATAGCAACTGTTTGTTACAGCAAGTTTTACATGATTGTGCTTATTCTTCTTTTTTTTCTCCCTTGCAGGCACTGGAACAAATGCTTGCTACATGGAGAAGCTGGAGAAAGTGGAGTTGTGGGACGGTGAAGTCAATCATCCGCCACAGGTATTTATCACATCTTTTTTATTCTGCATTGTAATGTGTGTGTGTGTGTGTGTGTGCATATATATATATATATATATATATATATATATATATATATATATATATATATATATATATATATATATATATATATATATATATATATATATATATATATATATATATATATATATATATATTAGTATATTTTGGTAGCTGTCATTCTTGTAAACATATGTTGTTGAACAAAAATGTAAGATTAATAATTCTAACACGAATTTTCTCAATATTTCTTTCTTATGTTTTCTTCACTGTCGGTGGTACTGGTAATGGAAATATCAATTCTCCAAAATTCATTTTTATTTATGGTCTGACACCTGAACGTGTTTCGTAATGGTGTATTACATTTTCAAAGATGTCTGAAAATTACTTCACACCATAGATCCTATCACTAATATGTCATAAATCTTTGGTAGTCTCTGCACTGGGGCCTACACTCAGAATCACCAGTCTACCTCAGAGTTAGTCACTCATCCTCTATTGTGTTCTCTGTTGTGTTTCCTACTGTCATGCTTATTGTGCTCATTATTGTATTCACTACTGTGCTCATTATTGTATTCACTACTGTGCTCATTATTGTATTCACTACTGTGCTCATTATTGTATTCACTACTGTGCTCTGTATTGTGGTCTCCATTGTGCTCACTAATGTATTCACTATTGTGCTTTGTATTGTGCTCTATTGTGTTCTCTCTATTCATGCAAACTCAAGGATGATGGAACCCCCAATGAAGTTACGGGGGTACGTACTATATTAGCTGTTACTCTGTGATTTATGACTTACAAATGACTGTAAGGCATGCATTTATTTTATATTGACTTTACATTCCACTGTAGTTTTATACATTGGAATGTATTAAAACATTTTTCAGTAATTTATGGCTTAAACTACAAAAGTATAATCTTTATCCTACTGATTAATATCAAAGGAATGAAGCTGAGTAAAGAAGCAATTGACACATGCATCCTGCTGAAGTTTACACACTTGAGTAAAAATATTTTTATTTAATAATATTATTTTCAGGTGATAATCAACACTGAATGGGGAGCATTTGGAGATAACGGCTGCTTGGACTTCATTCGTACAGAATATGATGACAATGTTGATAGGGAATCAGTAAACCCAGGAAAGCAGCTGTAAGTATAAGTTTCATAAATGAATTCTTTTCTAGGAGGGCTCCTATTGCCCCAAACTAAATAAAATCCATGGAGCTCTATGTAATTAAATCCACACGAGGCCCTTGTGATTTATTATAAGCCTACCAGGGATCAGAGGTCAAAATCTAGATCTCTTTATAAAAGTGCAAGGATCAGGGAATTCTAGATCACCCTAACCAAAAAAAAGGCCACCAGAAAGGTAAAAAAAAAAGCAAGGTAAAATAAAGCATAAAAAGTGAGACAAAGAATTCCATCTGTGCACCACCAGGAGAATGCGGACCTTCTTCCTCAATCCCCTGGCCTTCAACCTAAGTCTAACCTGTCTGAGCTGGTCTCAGTCTATGTGACCCTGGCTCGCACATCTATGATGCCACTCTTATGTTATTCTTGTCACCTCAGCCCTCTTTAAATTCTGATTTCTGAAGGGAAGTCCCTTGTGGCTCCCTGAAGCTATACACAAGAGATGGTTCCTGTTTACCAGGTCGAATAAGCCGTGGAGTTCTTTGGGCCTACCGGGAAACCAGTGCTAGAACCTGACCCCTTCACATGGGGACATTTTCCACCTTAATGGGGGAAGGCAACTAGAAAGTCAAAGTCAAAACAAACCATTGCTGGGTTCAAGAGAGACAGATGCCTCGAAACTTGCCTCATGAACTCCCCCAACTATGTAAACAGTCAAATTCTCTTGAAACTAACAAGAGCTCATTTGCCCCACCTCCCCCACTTGTTTCAGGGGAGGGAGAAGTGGTTCACTGCCTGCTAGGGTCTGAGCTATCAGTTCTTTCGCTGATGTAGTGGTTCCCAGATTGCTTCTCTTTCGTGCAGGCTCCTCTGTTCAGTAACTGGTGTGGTGTTTGCCCTTAGTGACTTCCTGTGCACCGTGGTATAGTGTGAGCCTGGCTTTGAGAGTGCTTGGAGCTGCATGTGCTCAGTGATCCCTTCCCTATGTGCTCTTTAGCAATGCCCTTGCATTGCCAAGTTATCTTATTTGGAGTGTTCTGGAGTTGCTCCATTAGAGGTCTCTTCATTTATGGCAGCCTTCATCCAGGGATGAGTCAGGAGGCTTGTGGCTTTCCTGTCTTAACTCGGGTTGGGTGCGGCATTGCTAGTAGGACACACTGGTGGTTCGCGGGCTTTCCTTCAGCACGCCAAGGTTGGCCTTCACAGCCACATAACCCAGGCTGTGTTGGATTACTTTTAGGCCCAGTATAGTGTTCCCAGTGGCTGGGTGTCCTGTTTGGTTTACCCTTCATGCTCTGGAAATTACCTGCAGGTTTGGTGGTCCTATAGATATTCCCTTGAACCTGCTCTCACTTTGTGCAAGTTTGAAGGATGTCCATAACCCACGCCACTGGGCAGCGATCGCTCTTTCTCCCTCTGCAATGCTGCCTGTTTGGTCAGTGACACCTTCAACCCTGAGTCCTGTGGCATTTGCTCTTCCCATGTGACTACTCTTTCTGACCCTCCTGATGAAGTTAGGGCGTACCAGGCAGCAACCGCTTTGCATGTTCATTTTGCTAGGTTGCAGCAGTCTAGGTTGTTTGCCAGGATGAATGTTCCTGAGCTGCCCCATCTGATGTTTAGGAACCTAGAATGCGAGGTGTTAGTGAACTCCACCTTGGCTCCGTCCACACCTCCTCTTCCTTTCCCTTCAGGCATGGTTTGCCCTCCTAATCTTCCCTTTTCCCCAGCTTTTGGCCCTGAAGTGTCTTAAGAGTTTCCAGGTCGGGGCAGGATTTAGCTTTGGGTGTGGCTCAGCCACCTCTGAGGGTTGTCCCTTCCAAATCAGGTGCAAAAGCATTTGAACTGGTTGGTCCTGCTGAAGTTTCAGAGTTTTAATTTTCAGCTTCATTCCCCTTCCTGCCTTCCCTCCTTCTTTTGAAGCTTCTTCCTTGGGCTCTGTTTTTTTTTATCCTGAACAGTGGGTGCTGGCTCTGCCCCATGGCCCTCGGGTGCTCCTTCTGAGGTTTGGGGGAGCTGGATGTGAGCTTCTGGGTGCTGTTCGATTCAACATGGTTCTTGGTTTCCTAAGAGAAGGATCTCCTTTTATAGAGGTAGGGGGTTTTCATATCTTCCCTCCCTGTATGAGTACGATTTTGGGGGAGCTTCTCATAGAGTTTGGTTCTATTTGCCTTTGTGCCCTTTGGGAGCGTCCTTCTGGAGGTTCCCTTCCTTACGGTTTTTTTTTAATAAACAAAAAATTTTTGTTTATTATCCTACCATCCACTCACCAGTCATGTGAAGACAGCATATAATGTTATATGCTTCACACAATTATTATCCTACCATCCACTCACCAGTCACGTGAAGAATGCATATAATGTTATATGCTTCACGCAATTATTATCTTACCATCCTCTTACCAGTCATGTGAAGAATGCACATAATGTTATATGCTTCACACAATTATTATCTTACCATCCACTCACCAGTCATGTGAAGAATGCATATAATGTTATATGCTTCATACAATTATTATCTTACCATCCTCTCACCAGTCATGTAATGCATGTAAATTTAAGAATTTCATTCTGCCCATTTCATTAAAGTGGAAGTCTGTTAGAATTTATATATTTTTTCTTTCCAATAGATTTGAGAAAATGATCAGTGGAATGTACATGGGTGAAATTGCCCGACAAGTTCTTGTTAGGCTAGTTTCTGAAGGTCTGCTTTTTGGAGGCTACACTTCAGAAATTCTTCAAGAAAAAGGATCCTTCTTCACTAAATATATCTCTGAAATTGAAAGGTAAACTAAAGATTTTGTATTGAATTACTATAACAAATTTTTATATTGAAGAATTTCAATAAAGAATTCATTGTATACTGTACATAATATGTGAATGTGTATAATATATAAGACATGGCAGGCAGTGATGCAGAAATATTAATGGAACAAATTATTTTTCTTATAACTGGTATATGGTAATTTAAATGAAAGTGACCCCAATATTATGTACTCTCAAAAACTCATTGTACCTGCTTGTAAATAAATAAATAAATTAAATATATAAATAAAAGTGCTAAACTTTAATGGAAATATCATGGCCTCCATAAAATTGCATACACCAGTTTATATAATCTAAATTAAATAATTATTTATTGTTTTGATTTCAGTGATAAAGTTGGCGATTTCAACAATTGTCGTGCAATCCTAGAAGAACTTGGATTCAATGATGCCACTGATGCTGACTGTGCAAATGTTCGTTATGTTTGCAAGTGTGTCTCAAAGCGGGCTGCTTTTTTGACGGCAGCGGGTGTTTCTGTTCTACTCAACCGAATCAATGATGAGAGTGTTACAGTGGGTGTTGATGGATCTGTGTACCGTTTCCACCCTCATTTCCACAACCTTATGGTTGAGCAGATCTCACAACTTATCAAACCAGGGATCAAGGTATGGATGAATGAGATAGACAAATTTTCATGTCATAAGAATGTATTTTTTCTAAATCTTAGCAAAAAACCAGCATTGAATGTAATGAAACTCCATTTTCTGGGTGAGTGCAGGAGGCTCCCCGGAGCTATCCAGGCTGGATGGGTATGTATATCTGTCTGGCATCAGTCAATGCATGGAGTTCTACCTACCGGGGACCACGAGCCAGAACCTGGCCCCCCCTCTAGAGAGGCTTGAAGGCACAAGGCACAAGGAGCAATGGCCTATAGAGACCTTCCTGTGGTTGGAAGCATTCTATGTCTGCCATCGACCGGGACAAGCACCCAGAAAGGTAGGCACCCCAAAACAAATCCCTATTCTGGTAAAATTATTGAGACCGAAAGCCAAACAGGTGGACAGAACTCCCCAAACAAAAATGAGCAAACTAGCATGACGTCATCATATCGCCGCGCCGCTGTCTGTGCAACCCCCACCCGCTCCCTGGGAGGGGGAAGAGGGAGCCCCAGACTCATCCGCTGGTGACCCAACCTACAGTTCCTAGGCTGGATGTCAAAAAGCACGAAAAACACCGCTGAACAGAGGGAGGAACGGATGCCGGGGAGCCTCCGGGACTCACTCAGAAAATGGTGTTTCATTGCATTCAACGCTGGTTTTCTGGAGGGGAGATCCATCGGCTCCCCGGAGCTAACTACCCAAAGATAAGGAAAAAACAGGGTCTTACCCGGGAGGCGGTTCGTCCTCACTCCTTAACGCGAAGTCGAGACAACTGGCTACAACCTCCGACCCAAGGCAACGCAGGCCCTACCTGGCCCCGGAACATTTACCAGGTAGCAAGCAGCCAGGACCCTGTTCGACCTCCAAAAACTCTGCGCCCGAATGTCAACCCAAGACATGTTGCCAAAAATGGCAGCCAAAGCCACAAACTTACGAACGTCGTGGGCACGGGGATAAACCGCAGGCTGGCTAGACTTAATAACCCTGTGGACAACCTGAGAGACCCGAGCCTGAGAATAGGGAAGGGAAACCCGGGTCAACCCAAAGCGCATTCCCGGCCACCGAAGCCGTGGCGCGCAAATAACGGCGGAGAGCCGCAACTGGACACAACACATGACGTACCCCCAGCCTGACCAACCAAGCATCAACAACCCAAGGCCCCCTCCAAAATGCAGCCGTTACGTTCTTCGCCAGAAGAGAACACGGCTGCAACCAAACAAAACGACCACCAGGACCGAAGGAGCAGAAACCCCGGTGTCAGAGGAGAGCATGAAGCTCCCCTACCTGACCCACAGAAGCCAAAGCCAACAGGAAAAAGAGCTTTAGAAAAACAATTCCGAATGGAAGGGGCCACAACAAACCGAGGAGAAGAGAGAAACGAGAGCACCCGGTCCAAGGACCAGGACGGCTCAGAAGGCACATGAGCAGGCTGGAGGTGAAACAATGAACAAGACAGCTTGCGAAACAGAGCAGAAGTAACATCAACACCGAAAGCAAGCTGAAGCAGCTCTGCCAGCGCCACATGATACGAGGCAACAGTATTGGGCATAAGATGACCGTTCTGGAACAACCAAGAGAGAAAGGACAGAAAACCCTATGAGAGACCGAAGAACACCCGCGCAGTGATAGGAAGAACTGGAAGGACCGCCAGGAAACTTCATACTGCTGCCGAGACGAAGCACGCAGGTGGTAGACCAACAACGACGCCACCATACAAGTGATGATAAACCTGAGTCAAAAACTCCAGACGCAAAGACTCGAGGCGAAGACCGAATCACCCTCATACCGGGCTGGACCGATCTGTTCAAAGATCTTCCCGCGGAGCCGCGGGAAGACCCTCCGGTTCGGACACCAAGCAAGCAGTGCCTGAAACCAAGGCTGGGCCGGCCACCACGGAGCCAGAAGGACAACTCTTCCCTGGTAAGTCTCCAAGCGAGCCAGGACCTTTCTCTTTCCCCCAGTTCAGCAACAGCTGAACTGGGGGAAAGAGGTAAAGGTAACCTCACCTCGCCCAGTCCTGCCTGAAGGCGTCAACCCCTAAGGCCTCGCAGTCGGGGAGGGGCGCCACGTATACCAGGAGACGCCTCGACCAAGCCGACGCGAAGAGATCCATGTCCGGAGTCCCGAACGTCTGGCACAGCCAACTGAAAGAGTCGGTGTCGACCGTCCATTCCATGGAAAGGGGATGGAAACAAGACAGGCTGTCCGCCAGGACATTTGACACCAACCGGACATGAACTGCCAGGAGAGCCAAACCCCGAGAAATCGGCAGACGATTCACCCGAAGCAACCATCCCCAAAGAGCCAAGGACCGCATCAAATCCCCTCGGTTCAGGCAATGAATCACCGGGGAGCAGTCCGAATTGAGCCGGATCGTCGATCCGCGAACGACTCGAACCCTCCAGAGCAACATTTGCACCGCTGCGAACTCCTGGACCGTGAAAGACGGAACCGAAGAACCTGCAGGATCACGGAACCGAGCCCAGGGACGGGTGGACACCAAATCCAACTCGTACACGGAGGGAGCGAAAGAAAATCCCTCTCCTTGTAACACCAAGCCCCGCTCGGGGGCAGAAAAACCCAGGAGGGGGGGGTTCAACGGGGCCCAAAGCCCCCAAGCCAACCTCTCCCCAACTCTGGGAACCTCACCCTGAGGACCCGGGGCTGAGCCAGCCTCCAAACCCCCCACCTCCTAAGAAAAGGTGGGAGCTGCCAAAAGCGCAGGAACGAAGGGGGCCCACTGGCCAGACCCAGAAGCTTCAGCAGAAGGACCAGGCTTGAATGCCTCTGCCACAACCCCTGAAGGGGACACCCCTGAGACCGCCCGAGTCTCAACACCAACTAGACCCTAGGGGGATCGAATGAACTACAGATGGGGAAGGATTAGGAGGGGCGGACGGAACCAGAGCCGAAGCGACTCCCACCCCCAACTCCGGGTCCCTATAACCAAAACGGGGCAGTCTCAGGGCATCCGGGGTCGCAACCAACCGAGCGCGTTGCAGCAACCTAAATCTAGCCTGAAACCCTTAGCTGCCTGCACCTGCATATCATCATCACTAGCTTGGGTGAACTGGAGTACGAACAGACAACACACGTCGCACAACTCCGGGTCAAAACAATCACCGACCCAACAGGCAGCATGGCGGAGGCAAAACCGGTGAGTATCCCCTTGAGACAAGGGGACAAAGCAACCTTCAAACTCGCAAGATGCGAGAGGGAACTCAGGAGTCGCATCCATCGGACCACGTAGCCCCTGTGGGGTTTCCCAGGGTCCTTAGCCTTGGTAACAGGCTAAGGGAAGCCCAGGCAGGGTACTGCGAACCGGCGCCCAAGTCTACCAACAAAACTCCTAAAACTGAACCCCCGGGATGTGTCCACTCACAGGGGCCAAGCGGGGAGGACCACCCACACAAAGGGAGAGATAAAGACACCCTAAGAACAGCAGACGATCCACCAGGCAGAAAACAAAAATAAAAGAAATATCCTGCAAGAGGACAGCGTACTCAGGCGTAACAGAGCCGGCCGCTGTTAATGGTGAAAACTAGCTGTGCAGTACCCTGCGCCCCTGGCAGTGACGAAAACTACCCCCTACCCAGAGACAAACCAGGGTAAGAAAAACCCCAGCTGACTCCAAGGGCGGCCAAATACCAAGCAGTAAACGGCACAGTGGAGGTAGATCCCGAGATGACTTGTGGAAGGTGGCCCCAAGCCCCAAGAGCAGTACTTACAGGCACCTAGGGAAGGAAACCTTAGGCGCATGCAGCCCGAGTACCGTGGAATATCACTCCCGGCTCACACACCACCTGAAGGGACAGCCCACACCACAAGGCACAGAACTGCAACGAAAAACTGGAGCCAGAGGCACGACTGCACCAGACTTCCATCAGCCAAGAACTGTAGGTTGGGTCACCGGTGGATGGGTCTGGGGCTCCCCCTTCCCCCTCCCAGGGAGGGGGGGGTTGCACAGACAGCGGCGCGGCGACACGATGACGTCATGCTTGTTTGCTAATTTTTGTTTGGGGAATTCTGTCCACCTGTTCGGCTTTCGGTCGCAATAATTTTACCAGAATAGGTTTTTTTTGGGGTGCCTACCTTTCTGGGTGCCTGTCTCAGTCAATGGCAGACATAGAATGCTCCCAACCACAGGGGGGTCTCTATAGGCCATTGCTCCTCGTGCCTCTCTAGAGGGGGCCAGGTTCTGGCTCGTGGTCCCCGGTAGGCAGAACTCCATGCATTGACTGATGCCAGACAAATATACATATCCATCCAGCCTGGATAGCTCCGGGGAGCCGACAGGGCTCCCCCCAGAAAGGCATTGTATCCTGGTCCTCCATCTATGACTGCCACAAATACATAAAGATTTTATTCAATTTACATCAGATTTATTTAAATATTTAATCATGTAATGATAAGTTGATAAAGTATTCGTTAAAAAAGAGAAAAAAAAGCATTGTAGTGAAATGTCTCTTTTTTCCTGCTTTTCAAACAACTTTTAAGAGGGAAATTCAGGACATCCAATACCAATCCTGCCATTTTGTCTCTTAACCCTCAAAGTGTGGTTTTCATCATCATACGTTTATTCACTGGGTAATGCATTGTCATCATATGTTGATTCATGGGGGTAATGCAGGTGTCATCATATGTTGATTCATGGAGGTAATGCAGTTACAGTATCAAATACTGAATCACTGGGTAATGCAGTTGTCATTATATGTTGATTCACTGGGTAATGCAGTTGTCATCATATACTGACTCATGGGGGTAATGCAGTTGCCATCATATGTTGATTCATGGGGGTAATGCAGTTGCCATCATATGTTGATTTAAACTATTATTGTATGCGTTTTTATACCATTAATTATATTAGGGGACATAATAGCTCTATTTGTATGTAGTAGATTACACCTTGACACATGAAAATATCCTGGTATCATTTCAGGATCACCATACTATGTACAGTAAATGTGGTTATCATTGCAAATGTTATTATGCCAATACAGTAATTA